GTTAACTCGAAGTTTTGCTAGATTTCTCTGTAATTGGTAATCGTTGACAAGTATAGTGAATCTATTTAGAGCTGTCTACATTTAATAAGTGACTGACAGTGGCAAAAAAGTTATGTTTGCAGGTGTTTCCTCAAAGAAATTGTCGACAACAAATGAGCGCTTGCGCTGAATGACAAGGATCTCTGCACATTCATGCCTTTCACATTACGAGTCTGCATTACCGATAGCTTACGGAATCCTGCGAACATAAAATCTTTTCTGAGTGTTTATGTGTCCGCTGTTTTTGATTAATCGTCTTTTACTTGCTTGTTGTTTGTTTAATTCTGGCCCAAAGTGAGAGAAGGTGGAGCAACTCAGCAGTATCTCAACATTGCAAGATTGAGATGGGGCATGGCGCGGATGTCTGGGAAGGCTTCACGAAGCAATGGTCCCTTTGAATGAGGATTCATGTTATCAGTAACGTCGACATTCTGCAAAAAGCAAGTAGAGAACAGCGACCACCTGTCTACAATTGTCATAACAGTTACCTCGAAGGAAAAGCCAAACATTATCCTTTAGGCTTTCAGCAGAGGTATCGCGACATAACCACTACAAGCCTCTCAAGGGTTCCCATCACATTTTCTAATATATGTAGCCACTAGTATTTCCTCCGTGGAAGTGAATTTAGTTCTTCATTGTCGTCTTTCTCGCAGTATACCAATACACTCTATTTCGACGATGCAGTATGTTCAAACCTTCACAGTATGTTCCACGCTAAAGTCAGACTATCAGTGAATGTGATGGGAATGCTCGTCAGTTTGATGTGTAGGACGACTGACCACTAGATCGCAACACTTTGTTCGGCACAGTAGAACTTTCACTCGACAGATAGGAATAGCTCCGGTGATTGACTATGACATGAAGAAGATGATGTCGTAGAAATAGAAGACGTCGCCAGAAGAAGCTGTTGCCAGAAGCCCCACTCTCGTCGCACCACTACTTTTATACTAGCACTGCTCCTAGCACATTTACATACATAGCTGCCGCGAAAAGTTTTATGTTTTGTCGGCGTTGACAAACGTTTACATACGCAACTGCTGTAAAGAGCATTATCTGAAACATCTTTCTTCGTTTGAATCTATCAACATTTAACATTACATTTAGTCGGGGTTGACGACATAGATCAATTTACAATTTCCGAGGATTTTGAGCTCTTTCGATGCATCGATCTAGAGGACTGATTGAGCTAGGCCTCTATTTTTAAGACGCGAACTGGTAGTTGGCAAGGTGTCTGTCGACATTTCTCCACCACTTACTTGATTTCGACGAGGGCATACTCTGGGATCCTTCGAGAAATGAAGCCTAACTGCTCTGCGAAATCGTGACAATTCCCCTCGACCACAAAATGAAAATACTTCCCGAAGTTTTATCTTTGCTTTTACTCTGTTTACCTCTTCTCCTATTTAGACCCCGTCCTTTATCCAAAAGGAGATGTTAACTGCCTTGCTTTTATTTGAGAGCTGTTCTTACAACGAAATACATGAGCTGTGGGCCAAACGAAGTATTCTTCACACCTGTCCTTGGGCTCATCTTAAGATTGTCCCTTTGCTGTTCTTTATGGCCCTCTCCACTCAGGCGTAATGACGGTAGTGAGTGGATCTGTCAGACTTATCCAGCCTAAGGACCAACACTCCCCTTTGCAAAAATGAAATTACAAGGTGTTTTAATCTTTATTCATCGCAACCGGTGTCCTAGGTTTGAAACTTTTGCAACTTCTGCATCACCTGGTCTTATAGAGCGTAAGTATTCTAGGGGCGTTGGTATGCGGCAGAATAGTAGTAGTTGTACAAGAAAACCTGGCTTCTCCCAGAATTCGTATATACAGCAGCGCTTAAACATTTTCTGCTCCATGGTTTTCAGTAGAACCTCTTTCCCACTGAATCCAATCATGCGAAATTTCAGTATGCTGAGCGTGGGTGTATTGTGATCATTGACCACTACATATTAACTTCCAGTCTGAGCAGGTATCTTTTGTGCTGTTTCAAGCCTTCCCATCACAAGTTTATCCAGCTTACGTTCCGGCCTCTTCGCCTTTTTTCGCCAAACCTTTCGGATTTCAGGCTCTGAAGAAGGCGAAGAGGTCGAAACCTAAGTTGGATAAAGTTGTGAATTCATAAAGGCTTAAAACAGCACAAACGACAAGTCTAGCCATGCCGAATTTAGAAGAGAGTCGAACATGGTCCATTGAACAGGTATCTTCAAGACCTTGAACTCCAAGTCAACTGGAAATTCGGATAACATTGGTTGAAGAAAACCGGCTTCATTTTTGCGTCAAGAACATGTCGAACAATTAAAAACATCAATGCTTGGTAGAAAACCCATGGTTCTCGATCACAACTGCACTGCATGCCATCCACTGGCAAGATGATCAAGCTGCCCTTTTTATTCCTAGCGAGTGCAGTGGAAGAGCGGCTTCTAGGCTCTTCCCACATTTGCACTATGGGATTTGGATCAAGAGAATGGCTCAGCCACTTGAGAAGTGTGACTATATGCTGTTGGAAGTCAACCTTCACAGCTCTCGAAGTGTGTCATGGGTAATTATCCTGTCGTGGAACCCCCCTGAAGCCATGTTCTCCTGAGCCCGCGGCATCACGGTAATGTTAACTATGTTTCTGCAGAATTTCCCTGTCATTAAACCGACTTTTTTCAAAAAGCCCGTCCACTCAGTGATATTCAAACTATCACAGTGAATTCTCCGCCACGAGAACGTCGTACAGATGTGATAGCGTCAATCCCAAACAAATTGAACTTGCCTTTACCCGTAAATAGAATTTTACCCCAGTAAGCTGAACTCCACTCGAGTTCAGTCCTCTCCAAGTTCACTCGGACCCTTCCCTTCCGTTCTTCGGCTTTTTGAGCGGCTTTTCGGCCTCCCCTAGAATACTGCATCAATCAGGCCCCTTCCTACACTATGCTGACTGACGTTCGTGCTCGCATTAAATTCAGCGGCAACCTCAACAGCAGTAAGTTTGATACAGACTTCGAACTGCTAATGATGTATCTGCCTAGCCCTGCTGTAGTGCAGCGAGGTCTCCCAATTTTCTAGACATTGCCAACGGAATTTCCGACCTGGATTATTGATGAAATCATCTAGATTATAATTTCCAGGATTCTTGAAATGGCGATGATTTTTACTCCAGATGATTTCATATCCACAGCTGATTGGTGGAGTTTTTTTTGGTATTTTTCTCCATCTCACCATGTCTGTGTTTGAGCCCTACGTATAATTTTTGCGTCCTAATAATTTGCAGGATTTCGCTGTTCCAAGCATCCTCTTCAAATCAACCCTTATTTTCCGCAGCATTTCCCTTGCATAGTGGAGGATGATCTCCGCAGCTATGCTAGGAGACACGATCCTAGTATTCTCGCTGTTCATGATCCCCCTTCCTGTTGTGTTGAGATTCCACCACGATCTTGATTCTTTGCTCCTCTCTTAATTTGGTTCTTATCCATTCAACCTTTCGTATCTCGATAGCCATGTACACTAACAGTAAGAGAAAGTCGTGCTGCGTCGTCATCTCTACACGAGGCAGTACCTTGAAAGAACTTTCCTTTCCAGCTTTGCGAATTGTTCTTCTCGCAATACATGGTCAATTTTCCATCCACAGTTGTAGCTGACCTTCTGAGTCTCTCATGTTGCGAAGGAAGCGCTGCAGACTGTTCGGTAGTTAGATGTAAACAGATTTAGAAATCTCATACGATCTTGGTTTCTGGCTCCTACTCCTCAACCTTCATGAACCGCTCTTCTCCGATCCTGTCATCATAGCCATTCGATTACCCGTTACTATGAAATAGTCCCCTCCTACAGCTGGTCTAGTGACGTCATTAGGGCTCACATGAAACTCATACTTTTCACGTTCATGGGAAGCAGCTTGCAGTGCGTAGAAGGTTACTTTTTCCAGTAAACTTCTTCTGTGCTTATCCTCTTGCCCCCAATTCGGCCGCTGATTTTCTTGAAACAGAGTCACTATAAGATTTCGCCACTGCTATGACCCCACCGTTCCGTTTAGCGTAGAGAAGTTTGACCTTTCTCCAATCTTTCTGGCTTCTACTCCTTCATAGTATGTCTGCTGAATACGCAGCATTTTGATACTCCTATTCACAAGATCAGCAACACCTTACGACTCGCCAATAAACAATCAAATGTTCGGTATCCCAGTTTGAACCAAGGTACCAAGGTAATGGAAGGAGCGCTTTGACTTGCTCTGAAACACAATTCTTTCGAAGTTTCTCATTGTAATATAGAATTGTAGAGACTGGAGATCACGCAATCTATTTAAACTAAACGAGTATTAATGAATTGCTGTACCCTAGAGTGAAATTGAGTTAAAGATATCACCAATCTCGCCACAAATATTGCCGGCTATAAATCGTAGCAATTACAAAGGCAGAGTGGATGCCTTTGTCGTCCTTAAGCTACAAGCGCTATCCACAGAATTCCTTCTGAAAAACTTCTCTCCTAAATTCGTAATTGATCTTGCCCAGTCTGCGGTGGGTCTTCTACTTATATCAATGCCTTTATTATGATTATAGAAAGGTTCGCGGACGGACAAGCAGATGGGAAACTTGATAAGCCAACATGCTGGTAAACAACCAGACACTTAAGCTAAGTGTGCTATATATAAGAAAACAGAGAGAAATTTGTGGTGCATTATTTTTATGGAGCAATACAAAGTGCCTCATCTCTGCTGCAGATGCAGCCGGAGCATTGGCAGTCGGCATCCTTTGTGCAGGGATCTCCTACATCATAGATGACTTCGTTCGGTAGGTCTCCTCTGAAAATAAAATTTTACAAAGAAATGTTGCGATATCTGGTCCTTGATGTATAATAAGTTTGATAGTCTCACCCTGGATTGTATTCACATACCACAACCGTCCAAGAGCTCCAGCAAGGTACAACTACACAACCAATTCTGTTGCTCGATTGCCACGCCAACTGGATCAACAACACTGACACCTTTTATCCGCTGTTAGAAAAGATGTTCCCACCTGACTGTATTTACTTAGAGTCGTGTAAATATTCATGGTGAAAACATTCTTTTCAGGCACACCATATTTCTGTAATTCACTGAACCAGGCTGTGACGCTCTGAAATGGAATTTGCACCGTTCTCCGGAAAGAATGTAGTTGGGCATGATATTCCAACCTCTGCTGCAGCTTCTGTCTTGTTATCAATCTTAGATGGTATCATATTCATGTTATTTCCCCAGCGCTTCAACATGGCAGCAGTGTTGAGGCCAAATGTGCAACTCTTGGCCCATTCCATCGCATTTGCTTCAACATCGCAGTCGTAGTTCTGAGAAAAAGCATTTCATCGAAGAGGTTCACCAGAGCAAGGTTCGATTGTGCTCTTCAGAGTGTGCTACTGTATACAGAAATGAACTGATGTTAGTGCATACCACTTTCAACATTCTAGCTGCCTTTGGAGCAAATTGTCCATTTTTGCCCTTGGCTTGCCCCTTAGCAATAAGCGATCTAGACGATTTCTGATTATCACGCCATCCTCACAACCTACTTGCTCCGTGAAACTTACCGGTACTCATTGTGCTTGTCGACGAACANTTTCCTGGCCTCATCAGTCATTCCATTATTAAGTCGAGGACACGATCCTGCTAAAAGCGGTTTCAGTTAAATTAGAAGCTCTAATTATGAGTCACTTACGAACCAAAAAATAAATAATTTACCGTTATGTGGTGCAACTGTTGTTGTTGTAGTTGGCTTTTGTGTGGTGGTTGTACTGGCAACTGGTTTAAGAGGAACGTATTCTGGCGGAATGCAAAGGGCCTCATCTTTGCTACAAACGCAACCAGCGCATTTGCAGTCGTCGTCAGTTGTGCATGGATCTCCCATCTCGTAGACCACCCATCCAGGATTATCACCTCTGTAATGCGATTTTGGAAGACAGGAGGAATGATAGCAGAGAGCCATTGTATCCTCTTGGCTCACGAAGCATTATAATTGCATCCTGCGATTGTCCATGCATATGTATCATTATGGCAATATGTTATTGCGCAACCAATTTTGTAAGTCCATTGCCAGACCACCTACAATAATCGACTGCCAGCACGAATTCATCGGACAGTAGCAAATCCTTTTGTCACCTGCATGTAGTGACCAGTTTTGTGTTCATTTGGCGAGGCCACGATATTGTCCTCTGGTACACCAAAAACCTGTAACTCCTGCCACCACGATATGACGGCCTGCAATTGTATGACATCATTTTTAAGCGAGGCGCATCTCAGCCCAAAATTCTTACCGTTTCTGCTATTGACGGCCAGGTGAAATTGTAGTATTTATCCCCCACAGAATACAGATTTTGTCCCCAGTAGTTCCTCTCTGCGGGCGGGTTGTGCCAGAAATGACACTGCTTTGTCCAAGCCATCATGTTAGCTTCCATGTCGCAATCATAACTCTATAAGAAGTCTGAGACTCTACTTGTTCCTAATGCCTCACAATAACAGACGTGAGGCACAATTGGAGCGATCTACCTTACGATCAAGCCTTATCATGCCTTACCACTTTTAACATTCGAGCTGCTTTTGGAGCAAATCCACCGAATGCATTCTTAGCCTTTCCTTGAGCAGTCTGCGATCTGAAAATTTCAATTATTTCGATTATATCGCTGTTTCCTCGCGCTTTACCAACCGGAGTTTATTGTGCGTATCGACAAAAGCATGCCTAACTTCATCTGTCATTCCACTGTCGGAAGGACACTCGACATACGAATCTGAAAAAAAGGATTTTGGTGAGTGATAGCTCAGTGTTGGAAGACTTCAAGAAGTTATCAAACCCACCAACTGCCCATAATGGTGTCAGAAGAAACTAAATGCGTTTATTTGAAAAGTCTACTTTTCATTGTCACCAGGTAGCGAAATTATTAACTTACCAGGCAGGAAATCGCGGTAGCTATTTTCATGCCTCCGAATGAAGAAGTGCCTATAGCACCCTGATGGTGCTTTTATATCACTGTTCCCATTCCCTGTTTCATAAATATTATATCATTGGCATAAGAGCTGCTAAAATTATCACATCCGATTTTTTTTTTCAAATATTATTTTCATCATTTTCGGGAAGCACTGCTCACTGATCGCTGAAGCAGTGGGAAAAGATGCTAATGTTCCGAGTTATTGCTCATTGCAGGAGCTGAATTATTCTTTACTTCATAGATTCATTCCCCATTCCAAAAGTATGTTGAACTCCTCAGTGGTTTTAGACTCCTTCAGAGGAGAGTTCATGTACTTCTGATGATTTCCATATACATCTGAAAAGAAATAGATAAATAACCAAATGAATAATTAGTGCTTCTTTCCCATTGTTCCAGCGATCAGTAAAAATGACGTTTCGAAATAAATGAAAATAAAATTTATAAAAGAAAATCAAATGTGGAAGTGTCAGCGGCTGCTATCCCTCAAAAAACTGCCAGAATGTTGGAAGAGGTACGACTTTATAATGAGAGGACTCGCTTTTACAAAATTACGAGTTTTGAGTCTGTACTGGAGGTCGTTCTCCTTCATTATGTGTTTCAACTTCTCAAACATCACTTTGTTAGACAAAATTCTAATTTATTAGATTTGAGACTAGCAATCAATGACTTTTTTGAGGCTCAATTTTCCGCAGTGATTCCCTCAAACAATCGGATTTTGATGGATGAATTCAAAATGGCTATCTTTTTGTCGAAGAACTTTTTCGCCGAGGTTACATATTAATCAGTAGCCAAGATGCTCGGATAGTTGATGGTTGGATAGGATTTAAGGCGGAGGATATCGGAATGAAAGAGATACTTCATCCTTTTTTGCGGCGAATCTTGAGACGTATCGTCTTAAACTAATTGCCAGCCGCTCCATATCGCCCACCACTACTTTTCTGTATTATCACAGTGATGTGAGTGTCTTGCAAAAATTACTTATCTTAGAATAATTCTCGTTTTTTCGTGGCTCTAAGCTGCTTCTCGAATAGAGTTACATAGAAACATCGAGACGCAACATATAATAGAGCTGTAATAAAAAATCCAACCACCCCTCCTCGTCTGATTAAACCGTCCCTCTTTGCTTCTGCTCCTTTCTGAAAACAAACGATAACAAACGGTGCGCAAATAAGCAGTTCAAACAGATTTTTTCAACAAGAAAGGGAGTCAGCAATTGTTTGAGAACGTTTCGCATTGAATACGTGACACGAACTACCTCAGGAAGGGTGGAAGCTGAAAGGAGAATTTTGAATTTGCTTCTCTTTGAAAGGACATTACAGATGGAGCTACTACCTACGAGTGCTCAAGGAGCCTGCCCAGCAGCTGGTTAGATGTTGTGACTTGAATGTTCTATGCGCTTCAAATCGAGGCCGTAAATGGATTTTATTTTTTTCTGTTTCCCCATCTCAAGCGCGAAAAGTTTTTCGTTGAACACAGCTTCTCTAACTGCGAATAAACAAGCATGAAATTTCCCTTTTTTGTTTTTCATATGAAAAAAATCTTTCGACAGGTATTTACAAAATCTGAGCACAATCTTAATTAGAGAAACACCTTTAAGAAGCTGAAAAAGGGTGAATGGGATCCTGGAAACGTAAAGGAAAAGCGGACGGTGTCCGGAGAACGCGCTTACGGACTCTGGTGCAGTACTACGCCAAAGTTTCATCCATCCTTGCTCGGCAACGTTGTGAATGATGACGAAGTGATCCCTAGCATATCGAGACCGAGTTTCTTTTCTGTTTGTTTCGCTACTCCAGTTCATCGTTTAGTTCGGCTTTGCAACAGCCACAGTAAGTAGAGAAGCGACATTTGCATTTGTCGAATACGACATATAGAAACAGCTTTTGTTATTATGCATTTCCAGAATTAAATAGGTGATCGAACATCACAACATATATATTTCTCATAATTATGCAGCTTCCGGGCTCGGCACTCCAATACAGGGCATTTTTGTATGGGTATGATTGTGCAAGGGAAATTTACTTCCCTTTACATTTGAGGTAAGGGCGTGCTTGTGGCCGTTGCCCATAGTCCACGACAAACTACTCAGTTCTAATTGAGAGTCGGATTAATACAGCTTAGATTTTAGGTGGCTATGATATTCATTTTAACGATTGTTCAAAAAGAAGGCATGTATCTATTGGACCGCACGTACAGCTTTGCTCACAGTTGCCGCAATCGCAAGCCATTTGTTTGGATCTAATTCAGGAGACCATGCAATTTCGAAACGACCACAATTTGATCAATTTCATGCAGGTTCTCTAGGATTGTTCAAGGTCGTGTCATCATCTATGACGTGGCAACAGCGTTTCAGCTAGGCCGTTGATCAGCTGTAATTTTTCTTATCGAACATTATTTTTAGAGACAGTACACGTGTTATGTTTGAAGCTGTTCAGTAGTAGCGGTTGTAATACTGTATACCAAAATGTTTAATTGTATAAGTATGTTTCCGATACAGTTGTAATGGCTACACAGTTTGAGAAGGGATGGGAACAACTCCACTATACAAGAGGTAAGCGCGTATGTGCTTCTTGGTGCATGTGTGTGTGTGTGTGTGTGTGTGTGTGTGTGTATGTGTGTATGTGTGTA